CACGTGTATCTTGGGTTAATCGGTGCTACCCAACGAAACCTGTAGGTATATTATGAATATAATTTAATATGTTATTTATTACTTTTTTTAACTGTCACTAAAAATTAACTAATTCCTCAATTTTGAACTAAAGCCATACTAATTACTATCTACACGTACATTTAATTTGCATAACTACGTCCTTATACGCCAATATATGACATGATACAAGCTCAAAGTAACCCCAAGCATGCCGATAAATCTAGGAAGCAAAGCAAACTTAACTATCATGCAAAAGTGAGGTAAAAAAACGTACACAGAACGCGTGACATGACATCTGGTATAAATTCACCGCTAATTAATCTCACTGGTATTCATTTCCCCTACAACTAATTGAGTCTTTTATTTTTATGTACATATCAGGAACATCCACTTATTTCCTGAACCAGAAGAACGATCTGGGAGCGGATGATTTTACACCTAAAAGACAAACACAAAACACAAATTGTAACGACCACAAGGTGTCATCGTGATAGCACTGTGCACTTATAACAAATATAACAATAATATACAAGTTTGTAAGTGAATTTGGGCTGTGCTTTGTGCACAAAGCATTTGTGCTTTTAATACAATATAACTTTACGTCTAAATTCTCTCAGGTATGTTCGTAGGCGCCCAGAAGCCAATTTATCCGTTTCGATGGACCAACCATCAACCACTGCTTAAGCTAAAGCGACATAATTTAATAATTTAACCGACTTCAAAGGTACCAATTCGTCAGAAATATTTACATATATACGTCGTATTTTTAATATATATAACGGGTATACATGCCAAATGGTCCTATACCCAAGTCCGGATGTACTTGTAGGATTCTAGAGTATAAGAGTTTATAGGATAAAAAAATTGCATCAATTAAACTAGATATTGTAGTAAATGTAACTGGATATAATAGCCTCAAAAGGACTCCCCAATTTTTTTTAAGTTTGAAGTCGGCTGTAGCATTTTAAATATATATGTTAGAGCTGTTATTAAGCGGTTAGTAGCAAATTCATAAAATTGTTATTAGCGACTTGTCGCGGGTTAAAAGTTGAAAATGGTTATGACAAAGAGAAACGCTGAAAAGAGAGGAACACATAACGAATATTGACATAGACTAATCTAATAGTTGGAACACAAGGTATAAGACACAAGACAGCGCTTCCAAAATATGGCGTTGGTCACGGTCCTATTATTATCTGTGTCCTTTTGTGTGTCTTTGTAATATTTATATGGTAGTTATTGAATTTTCAAAATTTTTTTAGGACCTTAAGCTTAGTACATACATAAAAAAAGCTATGACATACATTTTAAGATCTGATAGCCCAGGTTCTAATCTGATTACCACTCATAATTAACTTATATTCGGATAACAAATTCGGTATTTGGTTTCCCATAGATAACGGCTCATAGCAATTAAGACAATTAATTTGGAAACCCGGACATTACATCCCGTTTTATATCCGCTCGTATTAGCTACGAGTCGTAAAATTTTCAATCAAACGCATGTTTGATAGACTATAGAAAATTGCAAAAAAAATAGTTTTTATATAGAACCTAGTAGCTTAGTAAAAATCTGTTGAAATTGTTTTTATATTAACTATATGTGTTGTGTGGCGGTTAAATGTTATTATGTGTATTAAGAAAATTGTCTTTCGTGTGTAAGCAAGGCTTTAGTCAAGATCCTTAAAGTAGTGTATGTAGAAAGTCGAAAACTTAATTTGTATGAAAATGACAGTTAGTGTCGAAAAAGTTTTCATACAAATTTAGTTTTTGACGTTCTACATAACTACTGTTAAGGCATCTTGGCTAAGGCACCTGGACGCCGGAACATACCTGCGTCTTCATCATCAGCGGGTGGAACTGTGAGTCTTGCGTAACCTCCGATAGTCCCTCGTGGGGCGCTGCTGCAGCCCAGCCACCAGTAACCTGTTGACCTGGGGAACGCTGGGTCGTCTTTGTCCACCTGGAACGACATTTGAATAAAAATAATTAAAGCATACTTTAATAAATACACGATACTTCAAAAAACATGAAAATTAACAAACAGTATCTTTTTTTAATTTTATTAACAGAACTCTTGCACAGTCAACAAAACACAGTTTTTCGGAAACGACCGTTGAGCAACTTTATTTATAAATATATTTATATTAGTGTAAAGTCCGTTTTAATAACTCATCTGTCTCTTTTCACCATAACATAAACATAATTCGTCAGAAAGAAACGAAAGACTACTACTACAGTTAAAGCGAGAAATTAGTTTGAAAGAGAGATTTATTTGATTTATGAATAACACGAATGTACTGTAAGTTATTTGTATTTTTCTTCATTTATTGCTTAAACTATTAAAATTAACGAAACGGATATAACACACAGTACACATTCAATTATTTAGAACTAAAGACTTTAGAAAAACACTTACGCTGAAAGTCCTATCATTGAACCGCCAGTACGTGCCAGCCTTTTTTCTTTTTTTTTTTTTTTTACTTGGGGAAATGCATTGCGCATACCCTACCGCGGTGCGACTGCTTAGTGCGGGAGGGTTATGTGTGACTCGCGAATGTGCATACCCACTAAAACCCCACGGCGCCACCAACAATCGCCTTAGGCGGGATGCGGTAACAGCAGAGCCTTATCCGCTTCCCGACGCGATGCGGCAGTTGTGTCCGCCTCTCCCCGCCCATTGTTGATTTGTGAAGATACTTGACACAGCAAGTATCCTTCACAAATCGGGCCATATGCTTTTAGGAATAGCTAGGGGAGATCGGGTCCAGTGCTTGCAGGGATGGATCACCATCCCTTCTTTTGAACGCATGGAGCCCTGCTTCCCCGCTTGGGCACTCTTTAGGTGACGAGGATTTGACGGGCCTGCGGTTTCTTTCGCCGCCGCGGACGGGTTCCGGGACAAAGCTCCCTGGTTCTTCCCGCTTCTTCTTTGACTTTCATGACCGACTCGCAGAAATTATAGAAGATTTTCCACGAGCCCTCATTTCCTGGGCTCAATATGGCTTTCACTACGTTTGGCAGTATTGCGTCCTCGCCCTGGAGAGCATCTAACAAAGGTCTCCTTTCCACTTCCCATGCTAGGCAGTCCCTCAGTGTATGCAGGGCGTCGTCCCGGTTGTCCCCGACACAGTGGTGACAGGTTGGTGACTCCTCACATCCTACTACTTTGTGCAGATAACTACCAAAACATCCGTGTCCGGACAGCATCTGCACAAGTCGATAGCTGAGGTGACCCCAGCGCCTCTTTACCCAAAGTTGAAGCAAAGGTCTGAGGGCTTCGGTAGTATATTTACCGGCACTCGCACCCGCCAGCTCGCTTTCCCACTCTACTAACAATTCCTGGTCTTCTAAGGCTCGCCACGCGTTTAAATGTTCCAGTGTGGGGTTATCCCCTTTATCCCGAGCTTCGGCTCTCCTCCAATATACTTCGCTAAAAGCAGCCGCATCGAGATGCCATGGCGTGGTATCGGCTATAACACACACTGCGTCATAAGACATGTATAAGACATGTGTTTGTAGCTACTAAATGTTGTTTGTTGCGCTGTAGGGTTTTTGACTTTGATATGGGTATTTCTGGTGTTGGGTTTTAAATGTCGTTACATTAATTTGATAATACTGATTATGCAGGAGTCTTGGTGGTTTTTGCTGCCGGAAATGCGTCTAAGTATTTTTAAAAAAATTAAGTTTTGTGTAATGTATTGAAATTTGTAAACAATCCGCCATTTTCTACTTTTCTATTGGTTATAAGAGATGTGACGTTCACTTTAAAAAATCGTGTTTTTAATTAATCGGTTGTTAATAATCGTTTTTATTTATTTATCGATTATTTCCTATATAATTTAAAGTTATAGAATAATCAACATTGAAATTAACCTAATTTCGTGTTGATAGATTATATATATATATAGGGTTCCGAAAATTTTAAAATTATCGATACCTACTTGACTGTATTTCCTAATTAGTACTTGTATTTCATTGTTTGCAACTTTCTGTATTATTTAATTCTTACTAGAATAACGTATTTACTTTAATATCCAAAAAGTACCCAAAACCGAATCACTATCCACGTGGTCTTGTCTGCCCTACTCCTAGAGTGTATATAAAAACCGGAGGCGCGGAGGAAGAGCAGCCCCCACCCGCTGTAATGTCGAATGTGGATTTTGCTAGAACCGTGTGTGAACAGTCTTACAGTGCAGAATATCCGTTCGAAATCCGTTACTTAAAAAACGATTATTAACTATCGATTAATTTAAAAAAAACGTGTGGCACTCGGGGACTGCCGCGGTAAAGCTATTGCATTCAAGTTTTTTGCAATTACAAGTTTTTATTTTTTCTTTGATAAATTAATTCAATCTATCAGACTCAGACTAACTCACCTAGAGACAGACTATCTAGGCGAGTTAGTCTGAGTCTAGATGTTATTGCTTAAATAAATCAGGCATATAATAATCAACCAGTGAGCGACTAGGCCAAATATCTATTCTTTCCATAATTCATAAACAAAATTTACCCATGTAACAAATATATTCCCAACAGCAGCAGTACTAATGCCAAAAAAAAAATGCCATCTCAAAATCAGGTTTATTTCTTCTTAATTTATTTATTTATACTTTATTACCTTATTCAAAAACATAATAAAAATGTTAAATAAACCGATTAAAATACAATAACGGCTATTATTTACCTTCAATAATTAAATAAAACCAAAACAGTCATTTAAATGGTTTAATACAAAATTACTAACGTCAATATCACACTCGAGCTTACATCATCTATTTATTAAGTATAAAAACTATGACTTTTATTAAATTATTGTTCACGCATCAATATAAAAAAGTTCGCACTCATCACGGCACGGCATTCGCTATACACAATATATCGAACGCGTTTGATACACTAGTGACGCTTGACACTTGACAGTTGCATTGATCACTTGGCAGAAGACATGAACACAGAGAGACAGTCTGGCAGCAGTGCTAGGCGGCACGAGAGCATAGCGCTACCGCCAGAGCCAGAACCAGAGTCCAGATATTGGAATTCGCCACGAATCCGCTATTTCCAGCCCCATCATGACCTCCATCTGTCCAATACACGAAAAATTAACAACATATCTGAATCAATCCTTACATTAAGAATAGACTAAGTAAAACGCTTATAAAACTGACTTAGGCTAAGAAAGAAAAATAAAAGACGTTGGCGCGTTTGATTGTGATTTGTCATCTTTAGTACAATACATGCAATCGGCTGTTCCGTTTACAACTCACAATGAAACGAAGCACGACATCGCTTCGTCTTTTGTTTTACATTCCAATTTTAAATATTTCAGTCCCAAAATATACCTTTTCTATATATATTTTGACAGCGATTTCTCAGTCTATCCTATTGTGAAGTAAATGATACAAATGAGTGGTGAAAATGCAAATAAAACCGCGATCAGCGGAAGCAAAAGAAATGAAAATAAACCTACGATGCGAGTGAATGATGGCGCAACGGAGGACGTTTGTTTGTCCCCCTAATATTCCGTACATACTACACTCTAGCGCCATCTGACTGTACGTGGACCACTGAAACATTACATTGGTTTAGCAGTCTGTCTATGAGTTGCCAAAACCATCTAACTACTTTGGACCCCAATTCACGCTACTTGTATTAAAACGTGCATTTTCTATATTTACAATTAAAAATGTGTTATAGTATTATGGTATTATTTTATATATTTATGTTTATATAATAATAAATTTATCATACTGTTCTGGTAAAATATACTATAGTAAAAACTTACAACAGTAAATACATGCTTTCTTGTTAGTCACACTTTTAAAAACTATGCATTCATCACGTGTATCTTGGGTTAATCGGTGCTACCCAACGAAACTTGTAGGTATATTATGAATATAATTTAATATGTTATTTATTACTTTTTTTACTGTCACTAAAAATTAACTAATTTCTCAATTTTGAACTAAATCCATACTAATTACTATCTACACGTACATTTATTTTGCATAACTACGTCCTTATACGCCAATATATGACATGATACAAGCTCAAAGTAACCCCAAGCATGCCGATAAATCTAGGAAGCAAAGCAAACTTAACTATCATGCAAAAGTGAGGTAAAAAAAACGTACACAGAACGCGTGACATGACATCTGGTATAAATTCACCGCTAATTAATCTCACTGGTATTCATTTCCCCTACAACTAATTGAGTCTTTTATTTTTATGTACATATCAGGAACATCCACTTATTTCCTGAACCAGAAGAACGATCTGGGAGCGGATGATTTTACACCTAAAAGACAAACACAAAACACAAATTGTAACGACCACAAGGTGTCATCGTGATAGCACTGTGCACTTATAACAAATATAACAATAATATACAAGTTTGTAAGTGAATTTGGGCTGTGCTTTGTGCACAAAGCATTTGTGCTTTTAATACAATATAACTTTACGTCTAAATTCTCTCAGGTATGTTCGTAGGCGCCCAGAAGCCAATTTATCCGTTTCGATGGACCAACCATCAACCACTGCTTAAGCGAAAGCGACATAATTTAATAATTTAACCGACTTCAAAGGTACCAATTCGTCAGAAATATTTACATGTATACGTCGTATTTTTAATATATATAACGGGTATATATGCCAAATGGTCCTATACCCAAGTCCGGATGTACTTGTAGGATTCTAGAGTATAAGAGTTTATAGGATAAAAAAATTGCATCAATTAAACTAGATATTGTAGTAAATGTAACTGTATATAATAGCCTCAAAAATAGCCTCCCCAATTTTTTTTTAAGTTTGAAGTCGGCTGTAGCATTTTAAATATATTATGTTAGAGCTGTTATTAAGCGGTTAGTAGCAAATTCATAAAATTGTTATTAGCGACTTGTCGCGGGTTAAAAGTTGAAAATGGTTATGACAAAGAGAAACGCTGAAAAGAGAGGAACACATAACGAATATTGACATAGACTAATCTAATAGTTGGAACACAAGGTATAAGACACAAGACAAAGCGGACTCATCCAAAATACAGTGGCGTTGGTCACGGTCCTAATTTTTATCTGTGTCCTTTTGTGTGTCTTTGTTATATTTATATGGTAGTTATTGAATTTTCAAAAATACTTCGTAATTTTAAATTCAACAAAGTCGATTTGAAGTTTAATGCTGCGGTATTTAATAACTTTTTTAATGTTTTTTGTTGTTTTGTGTTGGAGGCAAAAGGGCAGGAGGGTCAACTGACGTTAAGTGATAGCCGCCACCCATGGACACTCACAATGTCAGAAGGCTCGCAAGTGCGTTGCCGGCCTACTCAGAATTGCTATGCTCTTTTTTTGAAGCACCCTAAGTTATGACATACATTTTAAGATCTGATAGCCCAGGTTCTATATCTGATTACCACTCATAATTAACTTATATTCGGAAAACAAATTCGGTATTTGGTTTCCCATAGATAACGGCTCATAGCAATTACGACAATTAATTTGGAAATCCGGACATTACATCCCGTTTTATATCCGCTCGTATTAGCTACGAATCGTAAAATTTTCAATCAAACGCATGTTTGATAGACTATAGAAAATTGCAAAAAATTTAGTTTTTATATAGAACCAGTAGCTTAGTAAAAATCTGTTGAAATTGTTTTTATATTAACTATATGTGGTGTGTGGCGGTTAAATGTTATTATGTGTATTAAGAAAATTGTCTTTCGTGTGTAAGGCACCTGGACGCCGGAACATACCTGCGTCGAAGAGTATATCTCCGACGTCTTCATCATCAGCGGGTTGAATTGTGAGTCTTGCGTTACCTCCGATAGTCCCTCGTGGGGCGCTGCTGCAGCCTAGCCACCAGTAACCTGTTGACCTGGGGAACGCTGGGTCGTCTTTGTCCACCTGGAACGACATTTGAATAAAAATAATTAAAGCATACTTTAATAAATACACGATACTTCAAAAAACATGAAAATTAACAAACAGTATCTTTTTTAATTTTATTAAAAGAAACTTGCACAGTCAACAAAACACAGTTTTTCGGAAACGACCGTAGAGCAACTTTATTTATAAATATATTTATATTAGTGTAAAGCCCGTTTTAAGAACTCATCTGTCTCTTTTCATCATAACATAAACACAATTCGTCAGAAAGTAACGGTAAGTATAAAAGCGAGAAATTAGTTTGAAAGAGAGATTTATTTGATTTATAAATAACACGAATGTACTGTAAGTTATTTGTATTTTTTTTCATTTATTGCTTAAAATATTAAAATTAACGAAACGGATATAACACACAGTACACATTCAATTATTTAGAACTAAAGACTTTAGAAAAACACTCACGCTGAAAGTCCTATCATTGAACCGCCAGTACGTGCCACCCTTGAAGAAGTACGTGTATCCGTTAGTATACTGCAGTGCCGCGTCCACATTGTCCGGTATTCCCTCCCAATTGGACAAGGGCTTTGGATATGTCGATTTAACTGGTGGCCGTTGCGCTGGGTCGAATCTCCAGAACTTGGAGCCTTTGTAGAAGTAAATCTTGCCGTTACCAGACCAGACTAAAGCTGCATCTATGTTATCTGGAATACCTGTGAAGCCTGGAAGAAATTTAAATGGATAAAGTAAACGTTGGCAAGATTTTTTTGCTAGGTTTTATCGTTAGTTGTTGTCTATAGTAAAATTAAAATTATTTAGCTTTTTTTATTGACGAAATATTAGGTGACAAAGTGAAAATTTTGTCACCTAATAAGGACCTTTATAATAAGGAATAAGGACCTTTTTTTATTTTTTTTTGTATGTATGTTTTTGTATAAGGTGATAAAGTGTGTAAATATTATATACTATACATTTTGTACATAATTACGACACTAAACATAACAATCTAGCCTAGTTTACTTATGAGAATATTAAAAAAAAAATCAAATTAACCTAAGTGTCCAATAACACTACTTACAGTCTGTAAATAACAACACAATTCTTGTGTTCTATTTGTTAAAATAATATAGAAATAATCTTTTTGAAAAAGTATTAAAGTTATTATTGTCGTTAGATTGTGTTAATACATAATATATACATATATATAGAAGATATGTTGATAACACAAACTAAGGTATGATCCTTAATGTAAGAAAGTAAAGTCTTTGAAATTTTGGTGGTGATTTGTATAAATTAACAAAAAAACTTGCTTAAATTTTTATTTAATCCATAGATAAAAGCATGAAATCAGATTTAACTTACCTTCACTAATGTCCTTGGGATAATCACCGTCTACTTTCTGTCCGTTATACCTCCAGTACTTAGATCCCTTGAAGAAGTAGGTTTTTCCGTTCTTGTATGTGAAGGCAGCATCGATGTTGCCAGGGAGACCAGGCCATGCCCGAGAGATGAGGCGAGGATATCCAGCTGCTACTCCGTTTTCTGTTAGCTTCCAATAGTGTTCGCCTAAACAATATTTAATGTTATAAAACGAACTTTTTTAGAACTAATAAGTCTCGGAAACAATGGAGATTAGGACGTGAGTATTGTTTTTGAACTAAGCGGGTAGAGAGAGAAAGAAATGTTCCATAGCCTCACTGCGGAGTCTTTCTGTGTCTATTTTATTGTATCTAGTCACTGTCTCCCTGAAAGGCATGAGCTCGAGTTTCCACTGCGAATGTTGCCAAATTAAGGTCTCACTTCTTCATAATGTTGTTCTTCATAATTAGTTCTGTACCTGGTAGACATCGTCGAATAAAAGGTTTGTACAGAGTCTTAGCTTTACGAATGGCAATTCTATACGTTTCTGACATACGATAGACGATAGTCAAATTTAGGGTTAAGATTCGAGGTTCGATTCGATTCGAGGACCTTGAGGTCGTCTTAAATGAAGCTTGTCTGTCTGTCTTAGGTCCATCCAAAGTAAAGGGATTACCCATCCATTCGAGGAAGATTATTTCCCGAAGATATGCAGGTCGAGAGTGTTAATAGAGATATAGAAAAAAATAGATTTGTGTACAATGGTATTTGAATACATGACTGCTGGCATTTATAATTAATTAATTATTTTAATATCTATAGTTTTAAGTTAATGTTAAAGTGTATATAAATAAATAAAACCTCCACGATACAATTGATTCAAACATAGCAAATATAATCAATATTGATAAGTGTTAAGTGTATAAAGTTACACTTGAAATATTTCTAGCCCACTAAATATGAATGCAAATATGTTTCAACACAACTTAACCCCATTCTCCTTATCTATTTGTCACCGTTTATGATAAAAATATTTTATTATTTTCGTTTTGATTTTAAACGATAGAATTTTTATCAATTTGTTTTAATTTTACGTACATTATTTACTGTGTTTAATTGTTAAAATAAAATTATGACAGGTGTAGTTGAGATAAAAGTAAGCTAGAGTTCTTTTGAGGATTCGGGTTTTCCCTAAGGAAGTTAAGTTTCTATGTTTTGTTAACCAAATAAGTATAAATAAATTTAATTAAATTTTAATCCAGTTCTTATTTAATGACATCTTTGGCAAGATTTCTGGCGAAACAATATTTTATTACTTTAAGGAGATATTCAAGGTACGTATTTACTTAAAGTACTTAATCAATGGGATGTAGAATTGTTAACAGATTTCTGTTTAAAGAAAAACTTTTTACCGGATTAAAGTTATGTATTAATTTACAATTATTTAACATAATTTTAAATTTATCCGACGTTTCGCGTGCTTTACAGCGTGCGTGGTCACGGTTTAAAATTGTGTTGTGTGTGGTGTATTTTTCTTTAAATGTGTAGAGGTTATGTTAATCAAAAACAATACTAGATTTCTGTTTACTGTAGGGTTTGCCTAAAAAAATATTATCTTATTACGATAACAATGTACCTACTTTTTACTATTACCTATTAAAATATATAATGTAACTTTAAAGAAATTTAAATCCGTGGAATTGCAGTCGAGTTGCTTACCTTTGAAGATAAATGTTGCACCGTCAGCGGAGTTAAAGATGGTGTCAAAGCTGGGGTCGGAACATAAAGCGGGATCTTCTGATGCCGGCTGTTGAGTTGTAGCGCGAGGGATTTTGGGGTTTTGGGAGAAACCACCTCCGATGTCGATTTGGGATTTGTGCCCGTACAAAGCCTGAAATTATTATATTAATTCCTGTACTCTTTGTACGATATTTTTTTTTAATTATTATGTTCTAATATACTTGTAAATTTTTAATGTAAACTTTCTCGCACGTTTAAACATGTAAATAACATACGTAATAAATCAATCAATTTATACCTGAATACCCTGAATATCATCTTGGTCCAACTGGAAGGCGGGGTCATAGCCCCTATAGAAGGGTGCCATGAGAGCTGATCTTACATCGCTGTGGGAAAGACCCAGCGAGTGACCAAATTCGTGGGCGGCTACCTGTAGAGTTCGGGTATAATATATAGTTTTAGTCCAGGGGGCCAGTCAGCTAATTTGTTAATGACATAATACTATGCAGTTGTTTTTCTTAGTAATTGATACTATTACTTAGAAAAACACAATAGCAAAATAGTTTTGCTATGATTAAAATTGAAAATGTATAGGCGTATTTTACATTTTGTATATTATGGTAGACCTTTTATAGAAATATAAAAAAAAAATATGCGGTAAATAAAATCTTTAAAAAAAAAATATTGAATTAGGAAGAAAGATAATTCAAAAGAAAACATATATTGAATATCTTAATTATATTGTAAACTTTTTTTAAATTACTTTGGTGATACATTTATATTATTAATATTTAATCTTACTTGGAAAAGATTTGTTCCTCGTTTTGAATTGATAGACCACACTTCAGCATCGTCGAAATGAGCATCACCACCGTACACCTGTACAAAATTAATATATTTCAAATATAAGAAATGAAAATTATTACTGTAGCGACACCTAGAGTCTATGGCTACAAATCACTGCGACGTCTTGCCCTGAAACGTGAATAACTTCCGACCGCTAAGGATGTATATAATTCTCAACCTTAGCCACAGGCAGAGTCCGCAGCACCAGCCTGTGCTGAGCTGTAAACACCCTTCAGGCCAATGGCGAGATGCCATAAAAAAATTGCCACTCGGGCCTTCGGGACGGCCAGTCCTAGACTGGTCGAGGATATTCCCATTAGCTTGGAGGAACTGTTTACCAAACCTCAACCGCATTACTATGCATTCTCGTAAGTATAAGGTATAATATACAGTAAAAAAAACATGTGTGTGTTAACTTATGTACACACGTTAAAAGTTATAATTCTTAGGCGTAACAAGATCAAAAGCTTTTTAAAATTTTTATCTTTCGCCTTATTCTATATTTGTAAAAAAACGACTATAACAATAGAAAAAAGGTATTTCATACATTGAAAGTTTTATTAGTTATTATTAGTTTATCTAGTTAAATAAAGTGTAATTAAATATTATATAGGGTGTCTCAGTAAGAGTGCACTTTTTAAAATTGTAATATTTTTGGTTTTCCTGCAAGTGGCAACTCTGAAATTTGACAGGTGTCACCTCTGTTTATTCCGATTATTAAAAATGGAGCGCTTTTCGAAAGAACAACTCGTTATAATTGTGAAAACTCATTACAAAAGTAACGCTGAAAACGCTCGCAAATTTCACCAAATTTTCAGCCGAGAAAGTGCACCTAATGTGTCAACCAGTCGAAGAATGGTCAAAAAATTTGAAGAAACTGGGTCAATTAGGTATGGATAATAAGAATCCTTTGCGTCGACGTACCGGTCGGTCAATTGAAAACATTGCTGCTGTAAACGAGAGTGTCGCCGAATACCAGAAAACATCAATTCGACTTAGCAAATTTTGACTAAAGACCTTCATGCGTACAAGATTCAGTTAACTCAGGAGCTCAAACCAGCAGACCAAGGAAGGCACCGGCAATTTGCTCAATGAGTAATGGAGCAAAGGGAAGTCGATGCCAATTTTTCGAAAAAAGTCATTTTCTCCGATGAACAGAACACATTATCTCACGAAATCCTGATGTCAACTGGCCACCAAGATCGTGCAATTTAACGCCGTGCGATTTTTTCTTTGGGGTTTTGTGAAATCTCGAGTTTATGCGAATAAACCCGAAACCATTCCTGAGCTCAAATCGAAAATCCAACGCGTCATCGGTAAGATACAGCCACATCTCTGTGAAAAGTCATGGAAAATTTCATGAAGAGTGTAATGGCCTGTCATCGGAGCCGTGGAGGTCATTTGCCGGATATTTTATTCCATACTTAATCGGAACATGTCTTCTTTACAATACAATAAAAATATCAGAACTCTGTCATAAAATACTTGTCTTTATTTAAAAATGAAAAAGTGCACTTCTTACTGAGACACCCTTTATCACAAAAAATTATTTCTACATAATTAAAGAAATGGACAATTTTTATTTTAAATGTCGACTATGCTAAACTCTCGGTGTCGGTGTTGACTGTTGTGTGACGGTATTCGGGTGTCGGCTTTTTGTGACGGTCTGCGCGCGCATAGTAAAAAATTACTCTCATCATTGTTCCCTAACGCGCCAAAAGAAGTGTAACTTCAATAATTTAAAGTAATGTAATGTGTAATGATTTAATGTATAGTCTTCAATTGGTTAGTAACAAATCGCAATTGAGGCTTTGACACTAGTCAAGGTATTTATAATTTTTTAATATTGTTGTTCATTTGTTTTGACTTGTAAGCCGCAGGAGAATCAAATTTATAGGTTTTAGACATATTACTGTGCTTAATTAAATAATTAAGATAAAATAATAATTACCCATTTAGAATTAATAAAAAAATAATTCTAAATGGGTTCGGCGAGAATCAAATCCTAAGAAAATTGAATAGAGTTAACGCCGGTTTATGATAAAAGATGACCAATCACAATTAAACTACATAATTCGTTTTTCGTAGATATAAGTTTTCTCATGACCTATTTTGTGCGTTATAAACAAAACCATAAAAGCGGGGATAGATAGTTGAATACTTTACATTATTTCCTAATAAAACCTTAACTCTATTGACCAAAAACATATTAAGTATTTATGTAAATTACAATAACATGAAATTTCTCTTTTTGCTTTAGTAATCTGTTACTTCCGTTGATAAATGATATAAAATTGCATTATTGAACCCTTTACGCAGGCTGTTGTTTGCTACACGTTACCATAGCAATGTATATGCGATAAAATCACATAAAAAACTAGTTAAAATTTTTATTTACATATAAAGCTCTGTGAAACGTTCAGTCACGAGGCGGCAGGGCAGGTTCATTCAAACAAATTCTCTGCTCTTTACCAGATTTTTACGCAGATTCGAAACAATAATACACAGTGCTTTAAACCATAATATGTTTCCCTAGAAAGTATAACTGTTTGTATAGTACTAGTAAAATAACATTTTTATATTCTTAATTGCTAAATATACTTACAGGGAAATAGGCATGGGCAAGAGTACCACCAGGTCCGTCGAATGGATCACCATCTCCGTGCTCACCTTTCTCAAACCTGACGAAATAATAACGAATAGTTAGATAATATTATAGGCATTTCAAATTATTTTTGCACTATTTTTAGCAGAGTGAGTATTTAATCATACCTTCTGTGCCTACCAATCCAAAATAATTATTGTTTCCGCGGAAAACTCACTACGATATAAGAATTTTCAAAATCGGTTTAGTAGATCCAAAGATTACCCCCACTACGTCCCAAACTTTTCTTTTTTATTAGTATATTGCATTGTGATTAAATTAAATATTTAAATAGTTTTAAAGAAGTAAAGTTTGTATTAAGATAACGAAAGTTACATCCAAGTTATAAATTAAACTAGAAGTGTTGGTTAACTAGTGAGTCAGTCTTAGTATGCGTCATTTAAGATATAAAGTGGTGTACGGAAATATTGAGATAGCCTTAAAAGCTACAACATATCATTTATAAAAAATGTAATTTTAAATTTTGCTTCATTAGTCACTTACTACTCCTTAAAAACCCGGAGGTAGTGTTACCAGTGTTATGTAACCAGCACTGTACTTACAAAAATAATAAATTAAGGTCAACATTTAATGTGGGCTGTCATAAACAGCTAAACGACATTCAATGCCAGCAATTTGTGTTACGCCAGGCTGATCACCATTGTACCGAAACAATTTGTGTTCATATTGTATGACAAATACCACTGTACTGTAAATGTTTTACAAAAACTACATTTTTATATCGTTAACCGTAATTTCATAATTAGTATTAAGTGTGATTAGCCGTTATTAATATGTAATATTGAAAATATCAAGGCAAAAGTTATAGATATTAAAAAATTATTGTCTAAATTTTGATTGTTACATACATTGGAATGTCTGTCTAAATTATGTATTTATTAAAAATATGTGTAATTTCGTGGTAATAGTTGAAATAAAAATAAAAATTGTAATTTTGAGAACTTCATGCAAACAAATAATTATTAATTATAAATAAATTACCTTATTTCAATGTGTACTTGTCCTTTTCCTTTCTGAGTAAATGTTAGGTCGGTGTAGTCAGCCCAAACAGAAAAAGCTTTAGCTAGTTCCGCGTCCACTTCAGCGCGATTCAGCCTTGATGGGTACTTTGAGATCTTGTATGTTAGATTCTTCACACGCCATCTGGAGCCTGGAATTATTTAAAACATTATATTTTATATAAAAATATAAATATTATTTTAAATAGAGAAATGTCAGACAATAATTTTAAATTATTGCGGTTAAATTAAACTAAAAATCTAGTAGAAAACTTTCATACAATACTTCTACCCAGGAAATTACAATCTACCGCAGACGAACCTTTGATGTTAGAAGTGAGTTTTTATAATTTCGTTTAAAAGTTCGTGCGCGAACCAATGAACAGCCTTTTTAAGTTTCGTGCCGGCACCATTACTGTCACAGGCACACATGATTTATAATGTTAAATCTCAAATTTTTATTCCTATTCACATCTACAATTTTTCTCACATATAATTAAAGTTTTGGACTGAAGCAGGATTTAAATATCCAGTCAAAACGTGTTAGCAAAATGCATTCAATGTATTTCATATTCCATTGATCGATGACGATGAGACGGTAGAACACGATGATATGTTTTAAAAATTGTTCATCTACAAACTTAAAATAATGGCGTTCAGAAACAAATAGAAGACATAATAGAATTAAATCGATGTCTCAGTGAGGTTGAGCCCCACTTGCTGGCTATATGAATTATGTCACTTAGAGGGCCTAACCCCCTTGGTGTATATCGGACTTACCTTGAAGTGCGTATCGCTTCGCTCGGCTTTCGCCAAAGCCCACTTTATCACGAACACCGCATCTTGGTAAAGACATCACGTTAATTGTCTCATCATCCAGTTCACCTATAAAATTAATTACTATAATAGTTATAATTGTATAATTCTTAACAGTTATAAAAAATTTAGTACCAATTGTATTAGACGCAATATTTATAACGTCATGAATACACGGATAAGATCCTTTATTTAAAGAATCGATTTATATTTTGAAATCATATTGAAATGACTAATTACTTAAAAGAGCGTAAAATATAAATGTAGTACTTTATCTCGTAACCGCTGATAGTTCATGGTACACATTTTTGTTTCTATAATTAATATTTTTTATGAGTAAGCTCTTAACAATGATTATCTTCCCGACAAGTACAAAGGTCAAATGCAAGAAACGCATGATGCGTCGATACGTGAATAGCGACGTTGAAAGTTTTAATATAAGAATTCATTAGTAAATTTAATAACGTCATTTCCTCGGACTAGCCGAAGAAATATGTCATACATAGTATTTTACTCAAGTAATCAAAGCACATCAAGATTTATTCAATTTGCTTTAAAGCTTATTCACAGGAATACTGAGAAGCCAATATGCACGCTCCTCGTCAAACCACGTATGATTTGATTCAAGTTCAAAACACGTAATAGTATGGTATTTATTCTGCAAGGCGTGTAGGTATCTCTATATAATTGCATTGTCAATGCCGACGATTCTGCAAATCATGTTCTGTCGTCAGGCTTACAGCCAAGGTACTTTGTTGGTTCAAAGAGCATTACATCGTTTTATGTACTTTAAAAAAAGATTAACTTCGTTTTGTGGTTTTCACTCATCTGTAGGTATGGACACATTTTCGAAGAAGGCTTCGATTGTATTTACTTATCAAATAATGTTCATTGCACAGTACGTAAGTTAAATTCTTTTTTCAATATATTTTTGGTTAGTTTTAATTACTCAAAATTAAAATATATTTGAGGTTAATAAAATTTATAAGATTTGATTCAAAAGCGGTCGCAGTAGCAAGGTCAGACATTTATGGGTTACCATTACACTAATTACGTCAAACGAGTCGTCAAACTATGGTCACGAATACTTATACGTTAGTTGCCATATGGTAGCAATATAACTTACACAATTTGATAACCCAATATGGCCGACGTATTAAATGATTCATATTAAATTAATATCAATAATTCAAAAGCGACTTCGGTATATAGACAAATGATTTTTTTAATAAATTAGTTTTAACTTAAATAAGTCCTATGTATATTAAATACATAATAAATCATTGGATGTGTTGTTAAAATAATACACGCGCGTGTATAGTTATAAAATAGAATGATTCATCCACCTTTTCTAGACCTGTCGCTAATAAATATACTTTTTTACTAGTGTAAATGTTATCTGTTAAACAGTTTTCTTTAAAATAATAGTTGTTGAATATCTTTATACTATCATTGGTCTAACCAATGATATTCGTTGTATCACAGGTTCAGTGAGAAACATGTGATCTGGCTTGGGAGGTACATAAAGTAGGTGCTTTTTGTAAAAAGGAAAAATGATTTATATTAGATACAGGAACACCTTGAAAATGATTCCAAGAGCAGTGCACCTTGCATTTTATCATTGTCATGCGTACTGTTTTTTTTTATTTAAAGAGAAATAAATGATAAGTATTTTAGTCTAAATATACCTGTCGTATTCAATCCCGCGAAGCTCTGGAACTCTGCAATTGCTCGTCTCCAAGAACTTTCATCCATAATATGCCCACTGGAGGGATTCTTCACAGAGGGGCTGAGGTAGCCATATTGAGCTAAGTACATCTGGAAGTCAATGTCATAATTAGACTGCCGTATCCATTATGGATATGGACCTTTGTTAATAACAAGAGCATGAAAAGTTAGGAGGATTTTCATTAACCACAAACTAACCTAAGCGTTAAAGTATTTTGAGACAAAACCGAGTATGGCAATGGAATATTAAATGATATTGGTCACGTGACCTAACATGGCAAATTTGTCAGTCCCATACAATTCAGTTACAATTCTCTATATTTCATTATTGACACTGCTAAAGGTTACATGGTGGATATATTTTTAACAGTATAGTACAAAATTCATGTTTTTCTAATTGTGGTATAATGAAAAATCCTTTAGACGAAAAGAGATTAAGCATAGTTTGTAAAAAATATGTTGAATTATATAAAGAAAAATCTAGGATTATTGTTATCTCTTAAGATGAATATCACATAAAAGAAAATACACTTTACGGAGTTAATTTATCTGTTTTCTATATTATTTATTTTTCATTTTAAATTACAAAGTTACAACTACTTTCCAATCAGCATGGTCACGTAATTAAATTGTGCATTTTCTTTTATTGTAGCATATTATTTATGGATACCAAATAATACGATGAAAGCAATTAATGTTACTAATTTAGCGTTAAAACAACTATTAGTTATATAAGAGATAAAAGTGATAAATATTAATTGAACTCTTGAACAGTAGGTATTCGTTAATAATTTCCTTTTATGACGCCATTATATACGTCAAGTATTTGCACCGATGAATAAGTGGAGGAGAAAAAACAGCACATCCTATGAGTAATGCTTCCTTCTACGCAATTCAACATCAAAATAAAAACCAGGATTCTAGTGCGGGTTGAAGCTTCCAAAGCAGCAATGAGAACATATTATATAAAACGTTAAAAGTCTACAGTGCGAATTTAAATTTTATTTTTTAAGTACTAAGATAGGCTAGAAAGATACTTTATTACCAAATATAACCTTCAGATATGTTCGGTTATCATATACTATAATGATTCGTGTTCGTGACATCATATTATGGTGTTTTCAAAGGTTTAATGTAAGCGCGTGCGCAAGGCTACCATACTGTTGACTCTCAACTCTGATTACAAGATTAAACATTTCGATTAACCGTTCACGACTTTAGGTACTTTATTTTTAAAGAATAGTCGGACTTTGCTGCTAAAGCTAAATCTTTGCTTTATACTTTTACTTTACGCATTAAAAAAATTAATACTTTTTAACACTTCTCGTAACTGTAAACAAGCAACTTGTTTTTAATATGTAAACTTGGTCATTGGAATTTATTATTCAAAATTAAACTCGGTATTATCAGATTCAAAAATATTTTTATGTTCGACAGTTTGTTTACACGGGGCTATCTCCAGTATAAAATAAAACATGTTTCTGTAATTTATTCCACAATTTAAATCAAATAAGATTTTTTGCGAGACCGTACAACTACATTAATAGGAAAATAATATTAATTTACACAAATAAAACTAGAATACTACAACGAATTTGCTACCTGTTGTGCTAGCCTTTAGAAATAAGCCTCGCTGTATTGTATGCTGTTGGAAAAGCTCTTAAATTTTACCATTGTTACTATTAAAGCGAGACAGTGACTTGTATATAACAAGACAGAAATCGTGTCGAACAACGCAATATTTACACCTTCTTTATCTCTAAGCCAGACGTTTGAGTTTGTATGCAGATTATGATGTGAACGACACAGCTCTTATGTTAACCAATAACCACAAGTATGCAGCGACCTTGGGCGTCGGCGCATGGTACGCATCATAATGTGTGCCACGCATCTCCGACTGGCACTTCTTTGTTTCATCTTATATATGCCGCAGTCAATACCCTTTATTGTTTTTCCTTAACAACAATCACTGCAATACGTGCGACACATGTAATGTGCCGTAGAAAAATATCGAAGTAATTGCAAACGCTAAAACGAGTTCAGTTACGCGATGAGACCCCAGTTCCTTAATTTTAAAACCAAATTAACCGATTCTACATACATTACAACGTATTATATTTTTTTCCAGCTAAGACTAAAAAATATGTCTGCGTTATATTGGGTCAAGTTAATGGTGTGAACAGAATGTGAGTCGACCACGGCCGCAGGTTACTGGGTCGACAGTGAAGACACTTAATCGGTACCATTACGTGGATATGTTCTCGAGGTAAAGAATTGGTTGATAATCGTATACGACGACGTACGTAGACGATTTCGAAATTTTAAAGATTTCTTCAATGGTTTTATTAATTCGGATTAATTACAAATACTTTTACTAACCTGGGTACTACAATAAGATGGGAAATGCTATGAACCCATAAAACCCGAATTTGTCAACATTCTTAAAGATTAAGCCGTGTTCTTATTTTAACGTTAATTTTAGTGTAATTAAGCAATTAGCAGTATCGTGTTTGTACAACAAACATAAACAGCTAAAATCTCAACTCTGTGTAAACGGTTAGTAATTGTTTATAGTCCCAGGTACTCGTCCCACCTAAGGGACATTGACATTGCATGGAGTATTGTTCTGTAAAGAATTTACGATTGCATTGAAAAGATTGAATTAATTTCGAGACTCTTCACCTTTATGTTTACGCTATACATTTCTATCCAAGTATAAAGTTATCCCTTTATGTGTCATTGGTTGTTATGGTCATTCTTATTTGAAAAAGTATACGTTTTAAATACGGTCAAAACTGTATACCCAGATGGGTTTCTTGCCTTGCATGGTATCGGTACTATATTATATTAGCTGAAATGTTCTTTAATATTAAGAATTCATTTGACTATACTAAGGCTAAACTACCAAACAGAGTTCAAATATTTTCTTCAACAGAAAAGTACCTACATTTATCAAGAGATTAATAACACTTAATATTTTATAATAATCATCTTGTGCTGTAAAATACATATATTCATGACATAAAATGTTATTACTGGTTTAAAAATTTTATCAGTGTGATAATCTATGCATTAATTACATAAATACTTGAGGTTATAAACTGGAATTAATTTATAATGATATGACGTTATAAAAATTACCGCATCAAATGTCCTTGTAAAGTCACAGCAGTTATACTGGTTTTAATTCTTTAAAGCTGACAATTACCGTTAAATCAATTAGCTTTTAATTACTATGACATATATAATTAATAACAATTTTAATTTTGAAATTAATATGAGAATAAAAGCCCCTTTTTTGATGAACGTCATATGTACTATAAAACACCAAATAATTAGGATGTTCGTCTGACATGCCTGATTTGATGTCTAAGGGTTGGTATTGTATTAGGTTGAGGAATTTTCCTCACTGAAACAAACATTTTTGAAACAGACCACCTATAAATGTGTGAGTAAACCTAGGACGTGACCTTACTCTAGGATATCCTATATAAACAGCATTCCATTAATGAATTGAAATAAAAATTATTTTTTACTAAACCAGTATTGCCGCTTTGACTTCCGCTATTTGACATTGACATTTGACACAATATATAAACATAATTGTTTATTACGCGGCACGCATTATAATTTAGGTATACTTCCTGTGCTTACATTACCTATCATCCTTATTTATCTAATATGTGGTCACTAGTGAGGAAACCGTTATACATATAGTGCAAATTAATTATATTGTCAATTTCACGTAACTGTAATTCTCATTATCATCTTGTGAGGATTTGTTAATTCTTACAGGCGTAACGAGGTTAGTGTGTCCCACTAACGGGTTTGAGACCGGTCATTGTCAGTATGTATCGGAAATGCCACAGATCACTTTCGCGCGCCAAAATGAGGTGCCGAAATTACTGTTTTACACTGTTATTTTGAAGCATCAGCGACTTTTACTTCGTTTTATTGAAAGTCATTATTTAAAAAGATGTGTTTAGTAGTATTTTCATACATTGGGTATTTTGCAACTAAGTTGAGTTGCCAAAATGATTTTATGGGCTTTCATGCCCTTGACAAACTATTAATTATTAATGTAAGAAATTATGATTCAACTTAATAAAACTATAATGAGGTATGAATAATAAGGTATGTTTGTATATATGAAAACTTAAATGATAAAATTTTTTTAAACATTCTTACAGGATTGGGATGATATAGAATATAGTGTTTTATAAGTCGTAAAAAACGTACCTTTCACGAAAAAGTGGAGATATTTTTCCCCTTCATGCATCTTGAATATTAAAAACACAAATTATGATTTTTTACTTTTATGAAAAGTTTTTATAATTTTCTTATTACAACTAAACGACTGATTGGCAATAAAACCCAAGATGTCACCGCGTATACCGTATGTACGCGACCGATGCCACAGACAATTAATTATAGAAATTTGTCGTAAGTTAGAGATGGCGCGTTCTTTAAGCAAACTTTAGTGATTTATTTTTAAAATAATCAGTATTGCATATATACAGTTCGTCAGTATAGATTCGTTTTGAAGATTATATATTGATGATGATGAATTTTTCGATTTCGTTTAACATTTTATTTAAAAAAATAATGTTTCGGCCAGCCTCTTCGTTGAATGTAGAATGGTAGAATGACTAATCGTGGACCTAATCATACCTTTCATCATACAATGTAAGTACATAAGACATCTAAGTCATTGTGTTTCAAGGGCACTAGAATGCTTGATAGATTATAGATTATTGTAAAGCAAAAAAGATAAAAGTCCACAGTTTGACAAAGAAAAAGTTAATCTAAATACTAAGAACTGTATTAATAAATTGTAATTACATTAATTTGTAATTATTAATTATTTTTTATTTTTATTAAAATAATTAGAACGTGGAAATAACATGCATGAATTTTAATTTAAAACTTGTAATAATAGGATATATGCGGGCAATAATTACAGTACGGGCCTCATTACCAGTGTTAAAATTTTAAAAGCTGTCTTTAACATGTTCTATAGAAGTCGATTGATTTATGCTACGAAATGTTCCAGTTCCATTTTTGAAATTCGACGTCATATTTATAATTAAAACCATGTAATGAAATAAAAACATAGGTACAAATATTCCTATAGATAAAATAATAAAGCATCGTTGTTTACATTCCTACTTTATCGTTATGATAAGGACAAGGTGAGTGCTGTCCATATTGGGTGTCGAAACGAATTTTAAATCGATGAGTCTTTTGTTCTAGGAAGTTAAGAATGACACTGATAGCCTCTAGGGTTTAACACGTGCACAGCAAATAATAGCCCCTAATAAATTTGTTTAACCACAAGATACACTCGTGATCGTAGTTACGTTACAAATAAAAAAATCAATATTTGTTGCTACGTCCTTACATAGACACTGAAACTAGTCCAAAACATTTTCAGTCGATTACTTGGCAACATTTTCATACTCATTTTAACGTTATTTAGTCTACCACAAGTCGCTAAAAGAATTTTTATAATGAATTCGTATATTCGTAAATCGTAATTGATAAGCGATTTTTTTTTACAAGTCATACAACTGGGGGGCCTCATAGCCTAGCGGTCTTATTAAGTGGCAGCTAGGTGAGGGGTACCGGGTTCGATTCCCGGTTCGAGGGCAAGTTTTAATTTAATTTAAATTTGTTCTCGGCCTTTGGGAGGGTTGTGCGGTACCGGGCGAGTACCTAAAACCGTACATGGAGGACACGGTCGAAGTTCTAAGGCAAGCACGAATTATAAAAAAATCTTATACTTGACGCTGGCTAATGCACAAACCGTGCCAGAGCCATTAAAAAAAAAGTCATACAACCTAGTGCTTATTGTGATCAACAAGGCCGTTATAGCAATATTTTACAGCTTACTGTTAAGATCTTACAACATCTGGTAGCAAGATAATCATTATGGATATTACAAATGTTCATAAAGTCAAAAAGTATTAAGATAAAATTATTCTTGCCTTTTAATAAGTAATAAATATTTTTCTTGTGCGGTTTCTTAGCAACACCTTGCAAGATTATTATCGTTAAGTATAAAATTACGTGTATAAATTGTTATTTACTAGAAGTACTTACATTGTCAAGATACAACAATAAAATCAATTTTTTTATTCTACGTTTATTATGTAAACCAAAATATCATTTTATTATTAACTAGCGGACCCGATAGACGTTGTCCTGCATGGTATTTCAAGCGATTAGTATATAGTACCAAACAAAGTATGATAGTAACGACTGCAGCGCCATCTGCTGGGCTGATTTGTGAATCTAAACCATCCAGGGCGTCACCCAAATGCATACAAAAAAAATCATTCGAATCGGTCCAGCCGTTTAAGAGGAGTTCAGTGACATAATACACACGTTCAGCAGAATTATATATACACTAGTGGACCCCACAGACGTTGTCCTGCATGACATTTAAAGCGATTAGGATATTAAGCAAAGTATGAAAGTACCGACTGCAGTGCACTCTGCGGCGCTGATTTGTGGAATCTAAACCATTCCCAGATCCCCTTGAACACACACAAAAAATGTCATCAAAATCGGTCCAGTCGTTTGAGAGAAGTGCAGTGACATACACACTCACAGAAGAATTATATATATAAAGATATATAAAGATATTATACACCTACATATTAGCTCATACATTTTTTTTCTAGTCTCCCGTTCTAAAAGTTTTTTGATGTAGTGTGCTAAGATATTTTACCATTTTTAAATAAATTTATTGATTGTTATTTTATCAATATAATTTTCTTACATCCTTTTTGACGATATTTGCAGCACGTATTCTGTCAATGTTATGTCAAACGCCGTAAGTTTACATAAAAAACGTTTGAATTGTATGGTGGTTATGTATTCCTAAATTTTTTCTAATTTTCCGCGCAATTTTCTTAATTTTTTTCTTTTTTCATAAGAATCTTCTCCTGACATTAACAAGCACAACAAAAAAATATTTAGCGAAATTGGTCCCGCCGTTCACGCGTGATGCCGAGACCTAGGGAAATAGGGATTCATTTATATCTTAATATATATAAATTACGTGTCACGTTGTTTGTCCGTTATGGACTCCTTAACTACCGAACCGATATCATATATATATATATATATATATATATATATATATAATAAAACTAAGTCGATAAAATGTGCGTGCCGATAAAACTTAAAAAGGAGTCCCGACACGATAAAGGGACTTATGTGGTGTGATAGCCCTTTATCCCCCCTCGAACAAGAAAGTTCCCGTTTTAATCTAAAGGGCATGTTTTTAAAGATATAAGGGACTTTCCGACCCTTCAACTTGGAAATTAAGTGCAGTGACGCCATCTGTTATCGAATATTTGAACTTCGTTCAAGACAACTATGGAGACTATACACTCCAATAGTCATAGTGTATAGTCTCCATAGTTGTGAGCCATTGCAGCATGTGTAGTAGTGGCGCGAAATTTAAAATTCCAATTTCAATAAAATCTTAAACTTCATTTGTTACTATAATAAAGTTGTTAAATTTTGTGTATTTATACGTCATTATTTAACGTATATTTTGGAGTTAAAGCGACATAATTTTAGTTATCCAAATTATTTCTCAAAATATTTAAAAAAAATTATTTAATTTAGGTTTTTAAATTTCGCGCCTTTACTACATACGCTACCGCTACAGAAGCTAGATAGTTCCCGTTTTAATCTGAAGGGCGTGTTTCTAAAGATATAAGGAACTTTCCAACCCTACAACTTGGAAATTAAGTATAGTGGCGCCATCTGTTATCGAATATTTGAACTTCATTCAGGACAACGATTGTTTGG